TGCATGACAAAGTTTATAAACCATGTCAAACTTATTAAGGAGTCAACTATGGCATTTCCAGTAACACCCTCACTCTGTGTGGCCAAGGAAGTAACTTTGTATCTCATGAGCTCCATCATAAAATTCCACACATCAAGTTAAAAAGATGAAATATATTAACAAAAGCTAAATGCAACCAACCTTGGGTACTTTTGCAAGTGAAGTTAGGTCTGCTTGATCCTCCCCAACTGCTAAGTTAAAAAGATGAAATAGATTTAAAAAATATCATTCTGAAGGTGCAGAATAAAGTATTTGATGGGTTGTGTGTATAATGGAAATATAAATATGATTAAACAAACAGATAAATGACAAAAATGACCTTCCACAGTAAATTTACCTGTTCAAGTCACCAACAGTAGTGCCCTGAAATTCGGTTGGGACTTTTAGTTCTACCAACATCACATGTTCTAGTATCATTGGGTTGCATTTTGCATAACATTTTTTGTTTCACATTAACTCACATAATTAAATTACCTTTTTGTCTATTCATTTATGAATATGTTGTTAATAATATTCTTCATAAACATAGACTTATATATATATATATATATATATATATATATATATATATAATTTGTTTTTGATTTCCCTTTATTTAAATCTTTTTTTCACCACCGAATACGAAAAAGAAATCATCAATGGGTATAGACTTACGAGTTAAGTTTTTACTCCATATTTATTCTATTTGTTTTTATCATTTGTTATATTGACATCAAATGGGTAACATTAAACAAGCCGAGATAAGATATAATATCTAATAAGCATGATACGTACTTAGAGTGAAGTTGATATTGATAAAACATGAAATTAGGTTTATCTACATGGAACCTTTCAAAGACAGATACAAGGATGAAATCTTTTTCCATCACAGCTCTGGGGAGGAGCACTTATTTCATCACAAACTTTTTTTTTTCTTCATCACAAGATCTTTTTTCTTCATCTTTTAACTCCTTATAAAGAGACATGTGTGGAAATAAGGTGATTAATAATGAGATGTATTATTTTACCTTTTTTAATATTAAAAAATGTCACACCCCGCTAAAGCGGAAACGCAAGGTATGACAGCGATAACGGTTTCATTGCAAAAGATAAAGATACATCACCATAGCAGTATTTAAAAGTTTACAACCCATAGCTTCAAAAGAACAAAATACAAGTTTTTCAAAATAACATTGTTCAAAATATAGCTTCATAATAGCTTCAACACGATGCAGCATGCTCTATGATGATGAATCTTTACATCCACTTACTAATTATTTCCTGAAAAAGCATGTAAAACGAGCGTCAACTATGAAAATAGTTGGTGAGTATCACAAGTTTATAAAATCGAGCGTACAATAAGGCTTTTCGTAAATACAAGTACATTGCTTCAATGATAAACAAGTTGATTGCTATTAATGAATACAAGTTTATTGCTATAACGAGAAACGAGTTTGTATGTGTATGAGCAAACAATGAGTCTCAACCAAACCTATGACTGAAGCCCTATCGAGATCTATGCTTATCGTTCCATAGATGAATATGGTATCATGCACTCCAGCGATTCGGGCGAGTGAGGAGTTGTCAATTCCTAATAGCGCTATCCATAACGACCATTGGCTCAAAGAGTTAATGGTTAGAGATAAGGGAAGGGCCTTTGTACGATAAGTTCTCATGTTCCGTGTTGCATAGACATACATAAAGAAACATAGCAATACAATAGCAATCATGTTTGATACAATTCAATTTAAGTACAACATGCAAACAATAGTTTTTCTGGACATGCTTTTCCACCCCAAAACATAAAACTGAAAATAGGGGAGTGCGTGAATACTCACAATATGCAAAATATAGTAATCAAGTTTATACGAGTCAATTAAATATAACGAACATAAGTAGTTTAGGACATGCTTTTCCACCCCAAAACATAAAAACCGAAAATAGGGGAGTGCGTGAATACTCACGATGTTTTGTGTAGACACAAGCGGTACTTCGGGATGCACCAACGTCTTACTACCGGGATCCTACGACACCAAACACACGCACTAGTGAGTTTCCATGTCGATATCTAATGCTAATATACTAAACTCTACATATAGGGAAATGCCAATTTATGTTTTAGTATTGGATTTATATCATTTTGTTACACTTTTTCTGATGTATTGAAATTTTACAAGTCGTGCGATTAATTACAACCTTGGAAGGTTAATTTTCCAAATTTTAAGTCTCAATAACAACATAAATTCACGAAAAATAGTATTCGAGGGATAAAAATTCTCAAACTTTTTATTTAACTGTTAATACACAACACTAAGCTGGGAAAATTATAAAAATGGATTTCCAAGCTGTTTAATTATATTTTATAATTTTGAGCATTTATTTCAATAAAAATTGAAATAAATAGTAAACAGTTTCCAAAATTACCCAAACTTTTTATTTAATTGTTATTATACATAAATAGGCTGGGAAAAATATAAAATATATTTTTCAGTGGTTATTTGTATTTTTCCTTGTTTTATTTCTTTAAATAGTCATTAATTAAAGAAATATTATTAAACAGTTAAAATAAATTACCATAAATTTTTGTAACATCATTTACAGTATAAATATCTTGGGAAAAATATCAAAAGTGGTTTTCCTAATGTATAAACTGGTTTTGGGTATTTATGTATATTTAAGTGAATTTTAGTGCAATTAACTTTAGAAAATAAGGGAAAAATAGTTTACAGTGGAGAAAAATATTCAAAATTTTTATGTAACCTCCTACTATATAATATGATATCCTGGCAAATTTTCATGAATTTTGGATAATCAGAACTATTTTCCCATTTTTAAGCGATTATAATTACCAAAAATTGGGAAAAATAGCTAGACATGATGAAAAATCTTGAAATTATTTTCTTGAGTCACCCATCACAAGTAAGGTATGCGAAAATTGTTAGATAAAATTTTCACATCCTAAAAAGTGGTTTTGTAATTTATCATGTCCTAAATAAAAGAAAATTAGAAATCATATGAAACAGTAACAAAAATTGCTGAAATTTGGTGAGGGGTCATTATTCCCCATAAGTATCATCCATGAATTTATTTAGGATTTATTGACCTCTGGAAGTATTTTATATGATTTATGCCCTTGGTTTTAGCAATAATTCTAATAAATCAAATAAATAACAAAAGCTCTTGAAATTTTCCAGATTATCTCATGCATGCAAGGGCTTTCAAAAGTAAAAATGTTAAGAATGTATTCAGAAGAGAAATGAGGGTAATGATTCCAAACAATTTAAGAAAAGTTGCATGCAATAATGCATGAAGTGTAGATGTGGCTGAGGTTCATGAATTTTTGTAGCCCATTCAGTGAGGTTTTAAGCCACGAAATTTCAACCATAACTCACTAGATATGTTAAGTTTCTAAGGTATTTTTCCTAAGATTTATGGTTGGGTTTAAGACCATTGTTTAAGCAAGATAAAAATAGTGATCACAGAAAAAGAGCTGTATGCGCAACCTTTTTGTAAAATCTGCCAAAAATCGGATATTTAATATTTTACAGTAAGACCAGTTGGGTTTGAAAGTTAACTCGTGGAACTAACCAATACAAAAAGAATATCATGATTTGGTTAAAAAATGACTGAGTTATGACTGTTCAAAGTCGAACAAAATAATCTGGCAGATTGCATGTTTGCTTGTGTGCATTTTTAGGGTATTTCAATAAGAACATCATGCATGTCCTTGGTAAGGCCCGATTTCTAACACATGCATGGAATGAATGAGCATCCAAGATGTACTAGAAATGGTTTAATGCTTTCGTTCATGCATGAACACACAAGAAATGGAGAAGAACATGAAATATTATGTTTTGATGTCACATGATCATATGTGCTTCTTTTCCACTCCTTGCATGGGTTTGATCCCGGATTTTCACCATCTTTAACACATGCATTGTGTTATGGTGAGAATCTACAAACCACAAGGGGAGAATAAAGATTTCTAGCCATGGAAAGGCATAGAATCCGAAAAGTAGAGAAGACTAAGAAGAAAAAGAGGTTTAACCATGAAACTATGGAAGAAGATGTTGTTGTTTACCTTGGTTTTGATCTTGAGAGAAGTAAGAACACTTCAAGGGATTCAAAATCTGGAAATTTTGCAGAGGATTGAGAGGATTTTCGTGAGTTTAGAGAGAAGGAAGAAGAGAGTGAAGTGAGAGAGTGAAGTGGAAGAGGTGGAGTAAGGGTTTAGGCTTGATGATTGTGTTTTGGGGAAGAGAGAGGGCATGGGGAGAGGTGATGGCCGGTTTTTGCATGCCTTTTGGCCTCCTCTCTCCTAAATTTTAAACTTTATAAACTTCCCTCCCATATTTTATATAAAAACATTCATTTTTATAAAATGTTTATTAAGCAATTTGATTTATTTAAAAATCTTGTTTTCAACAAATAATTTATGATTAATACTTGTAATTTATATTTCTAGTTCATTGGTATAATCCATAATTTGATTAATATAATTTGATACTAGGAAGTTTATAGCCAAATTTTATAAAGTTTTTAAGCTTTATATTTTATAACTTTGGATTTTTGGCTCTTTAGGGTTTTTGGAACATTGTTTGGTATTCAACAACATGTTGAAGTATAATTAGAGTGTTTTAATTTATTTTTAGAGTTTTATACCCTATTTCAATTATAACAAAGTTTGAAGCTTATTCTAATTATAGTATTGGCATTTCCTATTGTAGCTAAGCAACTTACTAGAATTGTAAGTATCAAGTATATTAGTCCTAGACCTTAGTTGGATCCTAGTTTATGCAAGATTTTTGACCTAATTTATACTACTAGGTCATGGCATGTTGTGCATGGATGGTTATTATAAAGATGCATGAGTCCAAGAATGACCTGAATTGACAGTTGTCACAAAAAAGGAAAATAATTTTTTTCAAGTTAATGATATAGATGTAGGTGTTTTTTGCAGAAATTAAAATGATAGAATCACATTACTCTACGAAAGTTGGTTTGTCTTTGAAACGTGCTTCTAGATACTTTTCCTTGTACTCAATATATAAGTGGAACAAATTTGAAGAAAACACATAGTCTTTACCATATATTTCCATTTCTTTAAGCGCCAATTCTTCATTATTGAGATGCCTATTAGTAGCATGCCTCATATCTTCTTCATCAATTAATATCATTGGTTCCTCCCCCTTCCCCTCCCTCACATCCTCCTCATCAACAACATCTTTGAATATCTTTAGCATCTCCTTATCCACCTCCAACTTCTCCTCCTCCTCCTCATCATCATTTAATAGCTTTAGCTTCATAGACACATCATATTTCTCTGCTTCTATATCAAGAGGCTTGCACTTCACATCTTCAAAAAAATCGATTTCCATTAATTTCCTCTTAACATCATCAGGTGTTGTCTCAACACCTAAAACACAAGAAAAGTAAATAAATCCAATTAGCAAATAAATACTTTCACAATCTTTTTAGAAACAAATATTATTATTAAATCAAAGAGCAAAAAATACCATCACCGAAAACACTGAAATTCTTGTCTTGACTAACATGCTTGGCCATCTTTTGCAATAAAACTGTTGTTGTTGGTTTGATTCCCTGAAAAAAGAGAATTAAGTAATTCATGAGGCTTTAATTTCCAACTAAATATCTCAACAAAATTTATTAACATAACATACAAACAACATGCAGTCCATTTGTCAGCAAGAAACTAGTTTCTGTCCATTTGGACCCTGTTCCCCAAGACTTTCTGATTCAGGTACTTATTTTAGAGTTTCATATCAATTTTGGTTCTCATTTTAAGGTTCCAAGGACCAAAATCGATATGGAACCTTGAAATAAGGGCAAAATTTATAAAGTTTCACTTTTGGACCAAACACGATGAAAATCAGAAAGCATAGGGACCATTCTCTAATTTATTCTTAATCTGATACATTGTAACGCAAATACAATAACGAAGTTGGAAATCAATGCAGATTGCAAATCAAAACCAAGTACTAGGTAAATAATCAATGATAGACATACCCTGAGAAAAGACTTGGAAGCCTGATTTTCATTTGGCTACGAATTTGATGAGAAAGCGTCTCCAATAGAGCTAATCTACCAAGATTGCTCTTAGGGACTATAAGGTTAGGGAAAATAAAGTTGAACTTCCAGTCCAACAATCATACAGCCACAAGGACCATTTCTGTTACTTAACTTAAATTAAATGTGGCAAGCATCAAAATCAAAGTTTTAGAAAATACTATGTGTATCATTTATGTACCTATGGTGGGAAGGAAGAGCAACATATGCGATTGTTGGATTGGCCTTATAGATGGGTCATAAATTATCATCCCCCTCGGAACCTGAAGACTTGTCCTTTGAAAATGGATGAAAAAGACTTTTCATTCAAGATGAATTGAGAATAGGAAGTAGCAGCAACAACATTTCCTGCAAATGCATAGCAATGGGTATGTAAGTACTTCATTTATACAAAAGAGGGAAGATTGGTAAAATTTCATCCATGAAGCAAAATAGAGTGGATAATGGAATTGAAATTCAATAGTTTATGGAAATGGAATGGAAATGAATTCCAATTCCTACTAACGAATATTCATAAGAACGAAAATTACTGACAATTCATTCGACGGTATGGAACCGGTGATTCTTTTGTGAAACATTTCATGATTTCCATCTCGTCCATCACTAATATCTGTTATGATTAATGATTTGGAATGTTGAACAAATTAATCTGATCTCCGATACTATTTCTATGAAGATTTACCTGAATGCTTTCACAAAAAGGATGAGAGACTTCTCCATTGGAATCGCCATGTATTTCTTTGTCATCTCTACCCATCATATGATAACATGATGACGCAACATGAATCAATAGGTGTGTGTTTTGTTTGCTCTGCGTTTATGAACCTAGAACCCTAAATTTAAGGGGAATGGCAATTTACCTAGGAATACAAATGAAGACAAACAATCACCAACCATTATCTCCTCACAACCCCTTGAAAACCTTCAAACGCCACCTCACACCTCCACCTGAAAATCAAAAAAATAATAATAAGAAGGGAGAAGAACGGTTTTGATCAAACCAAAAAAAAGAGCAAGAATAGGCACATCTTTTCTATCTCCTTTTTTCTTTTCGCTCTCAAACTCTAGATGTAAATAGGAAAGCGTGAGAGATATTGAGAGAATATACACAAGAGAGACAGAGATACTGATTCAGGTACAGTTGAGAGGTAAGAACATATAATCATTTGAAGAAGAAGGAATTTGGATGGGTGAGGGTGGGTATGAGGAAAACTTGTTTCATGTGAGATCCAGAGCACAAAAGCCCTAGTTCTTCCAATTCTGGGATGGCGTGTCTTTAACGTCTCAGAGGGAAAAAAATGGTGGATAAAAGAGGATAGTTAACATTGTTGACCACTGTATGGCTACCAAGCTCCAAAAATAAGAAAGGGAGGAAGAGTTACAGCTGCATAATGAGGTCTAGGGTTTACATAGAAAATGAGAAGTATAGAGTGAAGGTTGTCGGCTGGTGAAGAGGATGATTTCATTATTCCTTCCCGAACAACAACAACTTCATCGGAGAACGATACCTGCAAATGAGGTCTAGGGTTTACATGGAAACCCTAAAAGATGGATGAAACGTGGGGTTTTTAATTTTTTAGGAATTCATTTCCCCTTGATATTAAAGGATGGAACGCGCGTTCTCTTAAAATTTCTAAAGCGACATCCTTAGATGACGCACATGTGCCCTTCGGGGTTTTTTTTTATTCGACACTAATTTAAGGGCACGCAATAATGCATGACGTAAATCCTTAAATATTTTGAAGAGGCGACACTTTTTTAATTTCACTCTCTTTTGTGTAACGTAAATCAATAAGTGTCATGGTTTGCACGTCGTAAAAGTGTCTTTTTCTTGTAGTGCGGGTGTAATTCATAATTCCATTCCAATGGCCAAATATGTTGGTCCTGATAAGTCCAAACCAATAATTCAGAATTTGGGTTTTCTACACCCTAATTAAGGTTTCTAACCCATTCATAGCCTAATAGGCTTAAAACTAAGTCCTTAGGTGAATTAGGGCTTCATTAGGCCCATTATGGTATCATAAGGCCCATTACAGTTTCATAAGACCCATTAGAGTTTCATTAGTCAAGCACCACCCACTACCACCTCGTGTAGTAGTGGTCAACGGTAGCTCACGGCGGCGGCCACCGCCTCTCGGTGGTGGTTACGAGTTTCTTTTTTTATTCTAGCATCAGTTACAGTATTACAAAGCAAAAACCCAAATAACACACACTAATACAAACACCCACACCCACACCCACACAGCCACCCTAGTGATGACCAGTAGTGGCACATTGAGGCAGCCACCACCTCATGACGGTGGCAATGGGTTTTCTTCCAAATTCTGGCCAAACAAACACATACCCACACGAACTACATTAAAACAAAACCAAAGATACACATACATGCATGCCCAGAACAGGAACACAACTACCCACCTAATAGCGTATGGTGGTGGCGGTGAGCTGAGCTTGCAAACGGAAGCAGCGCTAGTGTCCGGCAGCAGTAATGACGATTAGAAGTAGCTCGTGGCGAAACAGTCGCATGGAGGCCACGGTAACAGTGAGACCCAACATCAGTCGGTTCAACTGGTCCCTCTCACGACCACAATATTCGTTCTAACCCTCGCCTTCGTCAGCAAAGAGAGTAGTGGTGGTTGTGCATCGACAGGAAGGAGGAGACAAGGAAATGATCAGAACAACAACAACAACAACGGAAACCACACAATCCATTATGGCTCCTTCCTCAACAAAAGCGACGCGACGGCAGGTGAAGATGAGAATCCATCTTCGTCTTTAGCACTGCAGCAATGGCAGCAACCGAATGGTGGCGACTCTTCGCCTTCGATGGCGACGATGTTCTATCGTGGTCTTGGTTTATCAGAACTGCAAGGGGTCGGGTGGTGGCGGCTGCATGATGGAATAAGGAAAGGTGGCGGCTGAGCATCAGTTAAGGTTATAGTTGGACGGGTACATGTGGGTTATGAGGCATAAATACGGAGGCTGACAAGGTTGATGGGTTCACCCGTATCCCATACAATTTCATATGGTTTTTACACTTCCAACACCTCCTCCCATTATTATTTTCAAAACAAATCCTTAATTTACCATTTAAACCTTGCCTTGTGAAAAACTCTTACAAATCAAGTTCGAAATTTTACCGAGCAGCCCATGCTTGACAAATTCTTTTCAACTTTGGTACATAATTTATCCTTTTAGCCCCAGCCATCTAAAATCCTTTCATGTTAAGTCCAAATGATATCAAAACCCCATGTCTTCTAAAAATCTTTACAAAATAAATCCCAAGACTTACACTTTTAACCGCTAGCTTCTAAAACAGTACCAACTAACTCCTTGACACCAACCCTTGATATATGATTATTGATTTTAGGGCTACTATTTGTTCATTAATTTGTTTATTTATTTATTTCATAAATGGGGGGTTAGAGTTAAAGTTTTTTTTGGAGTAATAGTTGTGCATCAGTAGTCTCTAGCATTGTGTTTGCATTATGAACCCTGTTTTCTTGCAAGCTATTTATCAGGAGTTTGGTTACCAATGTTGGGTATCAGTTTTCGAATCTCGAGTCACAAAGTTCATTGTGAATGTCTCATGTGATTTGTCAGGTGGTGGTATATCTGAGCTGATAATGGATTTGGATGCAACGCAAGAATTCTTGAATTGACCATCCTTATGCTAGTGAGATTTGCAGGTTGTTGATGACTTGTCAAGAAGTCAAGTATGTATTTAAGGTTGTTAGGCACGACCTCCGGTTTGGGACTGGATGAAATTCACAATCTGTAGTCATAGGGAATAATTTTTGGATTTTAAATTGATTGTCCCTATTTTGAACAGTCCTACTTTGATTGGTTATCGCTGTGATTTAAGGGCTTCCAGTTGTGAAGAGAAAGGTAGTTGTTTTAGTTTTTAGGCAGAACAGATGGGTTTCTTTGTTTGATTGAGGGTAAAGTGTTAAGGTTCATTCTTTTGCATGTATAAGAGATTTATGCTATAATGGGGTTTGGATGACAGGTGTGACAACCCGAAATTTTCATTTGTATGAAATCTACAGTCAAACACTTCAATTAAAAGTCAAATTAATTTCTACTAATTTTTAGCTCGGTTTAAAGTCCGTTTGGGTATTTTTAAATATCTTTCCATCGAAAGAATAAACGAAAGGAAGTATAGTTTAGGATTAATGGTACAACATTTAAGTCACAAAACTCCAAGAGTTAGGAGTTTTCGGCCCAAAATAGTGTTAGGGCCGAAAACCCTAAAGAGTATAAAAATGACACTTAGTCATTTTTACCATTCTTTTTCCATTTCCAGGTCAAGAACAATTCTCTCTCAAGTATCATCTGAATTTTTGTCAAGATATTCAAGATTTTAAGTGTTTCCTTCCTTGTTTAGTTGATCTCTTCCATTATCTAGTGATCTTACATGATTTCATCCGTGAATTCATTCCATTTTCTTAGATCTTCCAGTGTTCTCCAAGAACACCAAGAACACACACTGATTTATTGGGCCGAAAAACACCTTCTTTGCTTCCATGTTCTAAGTATCCATCTCCTATACTTGTTATCTAGCAAAGATACTTAATTTAGAGCCTTGAAATCGTCATTTTTCCAAGAAAAAAAGGGGTTTTCATTTAGTGCATCTCCTTAAACCGAAAACCCTAAAGAATGGTGTCTTTAAGACCATAAGCCTTTCCTAATGCTTAGTATTGAGTGTAGAACACTTCCTTGCTTGTTGAAAGCCCTTGGAAATCACTTTACGCATCAAAGATCAAGAGTTTTCGGCAAATCATTTGGACCGGAAACCTCTTGGACCGAAAACCACAAGATACATACCACTTGGACCGAAAAATTCCTTAAGTGGCTATACAACCCTTGTTACTTCTAGAACTTGAATCAAAGTATTTTTCCATGTCCTAGGGTGTCTTAACTTGGTTAATTAATTGTTAAATGACTAATTGGATACCTATATGTGTGATTATATGATAAATAGGATCCTTGTGTGTGCACAAGTCTTCACTTCACACTTCGCATCCTATACCATCCGTTCATCCAAACCACTCACTACAGGTGAGTTCAGATCCTTTAATCAGCGTTTTAAACGATTTTAAATACTTTTATAGGGGCAGAATACACGTTGAATACCATAGTTATTATATCAATCACATGTGATTAATAACTAGCAAGAATATCGATTTACTATACTTTCAAACTGCTTTTCTAAACAAATGTCTTGAACTGCTTACCAAGCTCTTTTACATGTCAACCTTCTTATCAAACTCACTTTTATGTATCAAACCTTTTCTATTATAGCTTTCAAACTTATATATTGTTAAAACCATGTCTATTACATATATAGTTATATAAGTAATGATCTAAGGACTTAGGACTGCCAACTCAATTTATTTCTTGTTCCTTGTTTGGTTGTGGACTTAGAGTACCCTGTTGTTTGTCTGAGTGTCTTTGGATCCTTAGTTATGTATTATATATTATATATATGTATATGTATATATATGTATAGATATAAAGACTTTTATCTCAGTTCAATACATTCAGTCATACAAACAATTCTACTAGTAACTATAATAGGTATAGTTAGAGATAACTACTACTAAGTTCAATGAAGCATACAAAGAGTCAGTTTATTCATGAGTCAACCCTTACTATGATGAGAAACTATACAACTATACTATGATGAGAAATTATACAACTATACTATGATGAGAAACTATACAACTATACAATGATGAGAAACTATACAACGATACT